AAAAGTATGCTTGAATCTTTCCTATAAAACTGTATGCACACAGGCGTGGTGGCTCATGCCTGTAATCCCAGCACTTTGGGAGGTCAAGGTAGGCACATCACCTGAGGTCAGGAGCTTGAGACCAGCCTGGCCAACATGATGAAACCCCGTCTCTATTAAAAAAAACAAAAATTAGCCAGGCATGGTTGTGCACACCTGGAATCCCAGCTGCTTGGGAGGCTGAGGTTGCAGTGAGCCAAGCTCACACCACTGCACTCCAGCCCGGGTGACAGAGTGAGACTCCATCTCAAAAAAAAACTGTATGCACCCAGCCATGATGCTTGTCTTCTGTGATTCCTGCCTCCCACTGCTTCCATAGGATTCCTACCTCCAAGCTTCCATAATGAAATCCTTACCTTTTCGTTTCAAATTTATGTCTTTAGTTTTTCTCAACTCTCCTATAAATACATGTTTTTACATACACATAGAATATGCTTATGTATACCGAAGTAACTATTTCCTATAGGAACTCTTTGATAACAAGAAAAGTGCTGCTGTTATTAATTAGCATATGATGATTCAGTGTGACACGCTTTCTGAGTTACTCTGGCTGGAAGTTTAGAGATAACACTAATTAGAGCTTGTAATGTTAACACATTAAGTAGAGTCGGAGTGTCATTTTATCTATCACTTTCACTCTAACCAAACCCTGAACACTAATGGGAACCATACTCTGTCACTTGTTCAAATATTTTACCTGAAGTCCTCAGATTTGTTCTCTTTAGTGTGTTAGGATGTTGAACTTCAACTGTTTTCCATTACTTGAAGTGGGTTAAATGCAGAAGGTTGGGGGTGCCATACCACTTCTAGTTCAGATCATCATGTTTCTTTGATTAGGCACTGTAGTAGTCAATTTTTGCTAAGTAAGTCTTTAGTAATAAACGAACCTAAACTTCAGTTTCCTCTTTGCTTACATTATATTATGTCAGCTAGTGGCTGAGGCTCTGACCCACGTAATTTCTTATTCTAGAACCCAGGCAGAAGGACCAGCCTCTATTCAGAACATGGCTTTCTCTTGGTGGAGGGAAAGAGCAGGCACACTAGTAGAGAAAGGCAGTGACTCTTAAAGCTTCCACCCAGAACTGTCTGATTGTCACCTCCACTTGTATTTTATTGACCAAAGCAAGATTCATGTTTCTAAACTTTGTGATTACAATATGACATTTATCTGAGGAGAGGAGGAAAATCCCATCATGGGATCATAGCCAAGCCTGGAATGCCTATGGGGCAGCACTGGAAGTCACATAGTAGTGGGCAAGCCTGTCTATTCCTCTAAAGGAAAGCAAATATTTGGTAACAGTATTTCAATCTACCACAGGCATTTAGTGGACTTACCTTTTCACTTATTTATGTAAATATAATTTCCAGGCTTTTCCTGTTTGCTTTCCTCCAAAAATTATGTTTCCAACTATAAGCGAATAGTGGCAACCCTAAATTATGTCTTTTTAAAAGAGAACTCTGTCTCTATTTCAGGACTTTCATGGGATCTTATTCTCCTGTGTAGTCAACCCTCTTGCAGCTAGTGTTTAAATCCAAACCAGGTCACTGGCTGGCATTCACAGGTGAATCTTCTGGTTCTGTGTCCCAAGGGAAGAGCAGGAGAGAGGGGGAAGAATGCAACATTCATTTATTTACAAATATTTATTGAATACTTTCTGGGTGCCAGCAGTATTGTAGATGCTAGGGATGGAGGAGTAAACAAAGCAAAGCTTCTTGGGGCTTCCACTAAGAAAACAAGCAATATGATGTTACGTGGTAAAAGTGCTATGGTGACAAGTAAAGAAAGGAGAGAATGACTGGGTAAGGTGATAAGAGGAAACCTTTCAGAGGTGACATTTGAGCAGAACCTTCATTAAAATGAGGGTATGAGCTAGAAGCATCTGGGAGGAAAATCATTCTCCTGCGTAGCGTAAAGACTCTGAGATGGGGAGAAACTGGGCAGGATTAAGAAACCTCAGGGAGGCCAGTATGACTACAGCAGAGTCAGAGAGAATATGTGGTAGGAAACAAAATAATCATACACAGATTTGTAGAGGTGTTAATTCTGGATTTTATTCTAAATGTGATGGAAGCCATGAATGGTTTGGAGCAAGACGGCGACATGATCTGATTTGTTTTTAAAAGATTATTCTGGGCTGGGAGTGGTGGCTAACGCGTGTAATCTCAGTACTTTGGGAGACCAAAGTGGGCAGATCACCTGAGGTTAGGTGTTCAAGACCAACCTAGCCAACATAGCGAAACCCCGTTTCTACTAAAAAATAGAAAAAATTAGCCAGGTGTGGTGGCGGCGGGAGGAGGGGTGCTGTAATCTTAACTGCTAGGGAGGCTGAGGCAGGCAGAATTGCTTGAACCCGGGAGGCAGAGGTTGCAGTGAGCAGAGATCACGCCACTGCACTTTAGCCTGGGCGACAGAGAGAGACTCTGTCTCCAAAAAAAAAAAAAAAAGTCATTCTGACTGCTAATATAGAAAATGTGTTAGAGCAAAGGAGTGGAAGAAGTGTGGAAGGTTCTACCTCTTTAGTGCTATCCAATACTAAGGTACTATTCTTAACATCTCTGGCCCCATATGTGGTTTTTAATGTACACAGATTTAAGAGATTCATGTTTATAAGTTTTGTGATTAAAATATGATCATGTATGCCTGAACAAAAGAAAAAATCCACCATTAAATTTTGCATTATTTTAGAAAAAGGAACTAAAATAAGATGTATACATTTGATAGGAAAAATTTGAAATGAATAGCTAAAAGAAAATATATTTAATATTTGCCTAGCAGCCCATATAGGAAGGTGAGAGAGGAAAAGTGTAATAGATTAAGTCAGTCAGACGCTGAATTTAAAAACCTCTCTGACCAAAGCAAAAGAAGCCATATTGCAGAGGAAAGTCCTTCTTAAAATAAACCATATCAGCTGGGTATGGTGTTGCATGTCTATAATTTCAATACTTTGGGAGGCCATGGTGGGAGGATCCCTTGAGCCCAGGAGTTCAAGACCAGCCTGGGCAACATAGGGAGACCCTGTCTCTACAAAAAATAAATGAAAAAAAAATTAGCTGGGTGTGGTGGCATATGCCTGTAGTCCCAGCTGCTTAGGCTACTCAGGAGGCTGAGGTTGGAGGATTGCTTGAGCCCAGGAGGTCAAGGCTGCACCAAGCCATGATAGCACCACTGCACTACAGCCTGGGTGACAGAATGAGACTGTCTCAAAAAAAAAAAAAAAAAAACTGATGCGATTTAGGAGACACATCAGTCTGATCAGCAGTGGAAAGCACATTACAACTTGACTCAAGAGAACTGTGTCTCATCTCTGCATCTCCAATTACTGGCTGTGGGACCTTATACAAATTACTTAACTTTTCTGAGTATTCATTTTCTTATCTATAGAAATAGAGGATGCCAGTTTATTCTTTATAGAGTTTTGAGGATTAGATGAGATATTACAAATGAAGTGCTGACCCAGTGATTGGTATGTATTATAAGTATAAACATTCATATCAACCTGAATTATGTAGGAAATTGCACTCAGAAAGCTGTTATCTCCAAGAGATTGACCTAAAGATAGTATAGAAAATAAAACGCAATGGCGACAATATTGAGTATTGACTGTCCTCTAAATATTTGCAATTGAGAAGGGTTTTTTCCTGGTCAGGCGCGGTGGCTCACACCTGTAATCCCAGCACTTTGGAAGGCCAATGTGGGCAGATCACAAGGTCAAGAGTTCGAGACCAGAATGGCCAACATGGTGAAACTTCATCTCTACTAAGCGTACAAAAATTAGCCGGGCATGGTGGTGCGTGCCTGTAATCCCAGCTACTCGGGAGGCTGAGGCAAGAGAATCACTTAAACCCGGGAGGCAAAGGTTGCAGTGAGCCAAGATCGCGCCACTACACTTTAGCCTGGGCGACAGAACAAGACTGTCTTAGAAGAAAAAAAAAAAGAAGTTTTTTTTTCCTTAAAAACCCAAACCATCAGTGATCTCCATTGCTGACATTAGTGGGTGCCAGTTGCATGAAATTCCAGGATGTTTATCTAACCTAGGGTGCTCCCTTCTCTGAGGGGAAGAAGTAGATGCCAGGAGAGGTTTAAACCATTAAGTGGCTTGCATACTGGGTGTAGCTGGAATGTACCTCAAGCAGGCACGTCAGTCCACTTCTTTGGCTACATTTTTGAAAGGTTGTGTCAAAGTCTAGCATTACTCCTGGGGTTGGTCTGCTCCCGAAGAGCAGGCCAGGAAAATTCCCAGTAAGTAACTAAATGAATAAATGGTAAAATGTCGCAGTTCTCTCTCCACAGAGCCTCGCACAAAAGGTAGTCATTACATAGGCCACTGTCAAACAGTCCTCTGAGAGATTCCCATACTCTTCCTCTTCCCTCTAGACTACCCATCTGCCCCAATCCCTCCCTTGAGCAGCCACTTCTGTTTTTTCTCCCACTACAGCAGCCAGCCCCACCGCCTGGTGTAGAGCTTGAAGATAGAACGGGACGATAGGATGGGCAGAAACTGCCCTGCAATAGCTACATCATCCCTGGTTGCATACCTAAGAAAACCACTAGGGTCACCACACCCTGGAGGTGACATTCGCATGATTTATGCCTCTCTTGGGGTTTAGATTTTATTCCTTTACTTTTCTATAACTCTGTCATGGCCAGTTTAAAGGGCTCAATGTCATGTCCTCCCATTAACAACCAAGACTACAGTGCAAGCCGTGCCGTGTGTGCTTCTTTACAAAAGGTCAAAGTAAAAAGGAAATCTATACTGAAGAGCCTCTAGATACTATTTCCAGCTTCGGGGGAGTCCACAGTAGGTACTTCCACGGGTAGAGAACATTGTTTTAGACTGGGATAAGGGTTGGTATTCGCAGTCCCCTTCCTACGTTCTGTCCATTGTAAAGACCGGAGTCCGCGCTGAGCCTCGCCCTCCTCGCTGGAACTACAACTCCCAGGATACCCTGCGGCATGGGAGTGCGCACGCGCGTCGGAGGCGGAGGAGGAACCCGCCGCACCGACAGGGCGGTCGAGTGAGGGAGCTGCTGGCGGGTGGGTCAGGCAACTCCTTGGGAGGCCGACGCGGGCGGACGGGCTGGTGCTGGGAACCGAGCCTAGGCTTGCGGCCGGCAGTTTCCGTGGATCTGTGAAGAAGTCGGCGGCCCCTGCGGGCGCCAGTCAGGTAAGCCCAGCCCGGTGCTTTCCAGGAAGTCCGTCTGCGGGCGCGGGCTGGGAGTCGCACCGGCCATGGTGGCTGAGGAGGGAGAGCTTGCTGCCCGCCAGCCGCCCGACTCCCGGCTCCTTCCCGACGGGTCCGTCTAGGGGAGCGGGGGCACACGGGGGTTGCTTCTCTGCGAACGGCCCGGGCCGGGGGCGTGGGGCGCGCTGGGCGTCGCCCGCCGGTCGAGGCGCGCGAACCCGGCGTTCCTGGTGAATCTCCCGCGGCCCGGGCGCCCGGGTTCAGGACCGGCCCCCTCCCCTCCCGCGGAGCCGCGGCCAAGCTGGCTCCCTGCACCCCACCCAGCATCGCCGGGACACGATAGCACCAAGCCTCCTTCAAAGGCTTCAGCTTTTTAAAAGTTGGGGCGGCGGAGTAGGGGAGCCAAAACTTAGGGCACACCCTTTTTGTGATTGAAATGTGGCTGCCCTTGCATTCACCGATTTGATCTGTCTGCTCTTAGAATTAAGTTCCTAGCTCCCAGGCAGCACAGCTGGATCCGGCTGGGAAGTTTGTGTGTTAGTTTGTTTTGAGGACGTGACTGGGTCGTTATATTTTTGCTTGCAGCGGATGGTGTGTTTCCTCCGCAAGCCTGCATTCTGATTGCAAACAGAAATGGGAAACAGCCAGTTTCTTTCTTTCTTTTTAATGTTTAGTTAAGAATCGCATTTCCAACTTGCCCTTGGCCTCTGTTAAAACCAAAAGTCATCTGGCAATGAACACTGCAGTAAAACTTACCCCAGGAGGCCATACTTCAACAGGAAATAAGCCTGTGGAGATTTAAGTTAGTTATGTGCAGTCTTCCTTGGTTTGTAACATTTTCATGCAGCTCATGTGTCCTTTTCTGAGAAAGCTTCAGATTAATTTTTTTGGCAGATTAAATTGATTAATTAATTGGCCCGTCAAAAATATATTAGGCTTGGAAAAATAGCTTTACCAAGGCTCATTTACTCTTGCTAGTTTCTTCTTCCTAGGCACCTTTTCACCTGTAAGAGTCAGCAGTTATAATATTACAGTCCCCTTTCTTACACATTCCTACGAAAGGAACAAAACTAATTAAAATGTCCAAATATATTTTAGCTCTTTGAGCTTTCTTTGCTTTTGCAACTCGCAGAAATTCTAGTTTGCTAATCTTTAAAATTAGGTTGTTGGACCAGATGACCCCCAAGATTATTCTGCCCCTAAATATCTCTGGTTTTTAAAAGTTCATTTATTTTACTTATTCAGGAAACACTGGCCATATGAATTCCAAGCCCTATGCTAGCCATGAGAAAGAGCAAACATGAGTTCTTGAGAATGCTGTAGACCTATTGCTCAATTTTATTTAATCATGTATTTTTTATGACTAATTCCTAAATTTTGTGGTATATCCAATATGCTAACCTACACTGTAATTAATAACTTCATCTGAAGTTAAATACGTACAGGTCAAATCCCATTCAAAGATTTTTCGTTTGTAATTACTGGCCCATTGAAACAAAACAGGTTTGGTATGACAGAAAGGCCCTGAATGGTGGAGGGCAGTCTTTTCAAACTTTAACATGTATAATGCACTCAGGATATTGTAAGCTTGAAGTAGAGCCCAAAGTCTGTATGTCTGATAGGTAATGCTGTCAGAGACCACACTTTGAATGTCAAGTGTGGGGAGGTAATTTTAGAGATATTTTAAGGTGTTTTTAATGGCAATTTAAATACTGATACTGATAACTGATATTAGATATATAATTGATGGCTTTTTCAACTCTCGGTTTTTTAAAATACTGTAATCCTATTAACTCTAACAAGAACAATTGTCTTCATAAGTTTTTCTCTTTCTTTCCTTTTCCTTTCCTTTGCTAGTTTGTCTTTCTTCTCTTTGCTTTTTTTTTTCTCTCCTCCTCTTCCTTCCTTGTTTTCACTCACATTAATTTGGCAGTTCATGAATTCAAGTATGTGTCTTGCCCCATTCTGTACAAAGTAGTGTTTTAGGCTCTTGGTGACTATGTGTAAGACATGAGGCCAGGGCCGGGCTTGGTGGCTCACACCTGTAATCCTAGCACTTTGGGAGGCCAAGGTGGGAGGATTGCTTGAACCCAGGTGTTTGAAACCAGTCTGGGCAACATAGCAAGACCCTGTCTCTACAAAATAAAATAAATTAGCTGGGTGTAGTGGTGATGCTTGTAGTCCTGGCTACTCAGGAGGCTGAGGCAGGAGGATTGCTTGAGCCCAGGAGTTTGAGATTACAGTGAGAGACAATGATTGTGCCACTGCACTCCAGCCTGCGTGACAGAGTAAGACCCTGTCTCTCTAAAAAAAGAAAAAAAAATTATATATATATAAAAATATGAATGACATGATTCCTGTCTAGGACCTTATTCTCTTTGGGATTAGGAGATGTACTTATGTGTAGTCCACAGCACTTGTAAGAGCCACCTCTAGGGAGTAAAAAGGTAGTAGATATTTAGGAGAGATCTTTTCCAGTTGTAGGAGTGGGGAACAAATAAAGTCAATATTTTTTTCCATTCACTGGTCATCTCTTTCCCCAGGCTATACTGTCTATACTGTTTGAGTGTATGTGACATATATCTACATATAGTGCAATTCTGTAAATTTATTTTATTTGGAACCTTAGATGAGCCAGAAACATGAACATAATTAGAACCGGATGTGGTGGCACACTTCTGTAGTACCAGCCAATTGGGAGGTTGAGGCAGGAGTATCACTTGAGTCCAAGAGTTCCAGGACAGCCTGGGCAACATAGCAAGACCCTGTCTCAAAAACTAAAACAAAAGAGAAATCAGTTAGATCTGAGCAATATGATAGGGAAGATGAGAGGCTGTGGGGATAAAAATATACCTGGATAGAGGGAGAGAGAAAGATAAAGAGGAGGATCCAGTAAACAGTAGAGGGAAAAAAGACTTTTAGTAAGGTTTTCTGCTGTCAGTCTGATGCATACTGATATTTAGGGTGTGTTATAGCTGGCAAACTATTCTTCACGCTTTTCAGTTGCTCTTAAATTTAATATGCGTGAGCTCTCTCGATTAGAATAGATAAGGAGGGCATTATACTCTAGGCTGTATGGCTAAAGTGCTATCATCCCTTGGTCATTGATAGTCCTTGCTGACATTTGATTTACATGCAGTTTTATGTCAGATCCTTTAAAATCACAAATATATGGAGAGAAAAATGGTATAGACAATAGAAAATTCTACTGGGCCTATAACTGGTCCATTAAGTTCTTGTTTAAATTGTAAACAATCAAATTTAATTTGGTGTTTATAAAAAATTATATATGTGAACTTACATTCTTGTATCTATGTGTCTGTAATCCATTAGCTTATTTACAATGATGAAAGAATAGAAGTGTGAATAAATCAGAATGTCTCATGATTGAAAATGCTGTGTAACTGAAAATGCATTTGTGTAGTCTTGAGTTTCATTTGAAACAAAATTGTTAGTGTGTATCTTGAGGCAGAATGCTACTTTGTATTTTATTGATGTGTAATTGACATTCAATAAAATGCACATGATATCTAGTTCAAGGAGTTCTGACAATTTTCTACACTGTAACTTCTACCAAAATAAGATA